CTGCCAGCTCCAAGTCGACACCGCGAAGGAGAAGTCATTTAAGATCGTGACGTCCCATTTTCTTTCTGCATCAGAGGTTTCCCCATCTCACTAACAAGTTTTGAGGAACCTAATCTGGAACTCCAGGACAATACATGTCCCCAAACAGTAAATAATGCATGGCACTAGAGAGGATAACTGGCTAGCCAGGCTTCACACACTGTAAAAATTAAGCTTTATTAGTCCCTCCAAGCACATTAATTATTGGAAAGACTGAGATTAAACCTTACAAATAGGCACTCCTCCAAATCTTATCTCCTCCTCTGTGGGAGTAACCTTTAAATTAGGATAAATAAGGGCAGATCTGTTTCTAAGAGGGGTCCCACAAGCCCTACGGCACCGCACGGGTAAACCCAGGTGTAAAAATAAAAAAAAACAACCCACAACCCCTTGTCACAGTGGGCAGGACAGAAGATGCAAATATCTGCACTCACTTCTGTTTCGATTGCTAAATGTAGAATTCTAAGGACTGCAAGCAAACAGCAAAATGAAAAAACCCACCCTTGCAGGGCAGCCTAACGAAAGCAGAAGATGTTTCACCCGAGGAAGGCTTTTGAGAGTGCGATTTTTATGTAGAACACGTGGAAATAAGCAGGATTAAAAAAAAATAAAAATAAAAAAGATACAGCTGTGCCTGAGCCTGTTCAAGGCTTGTAGGCTGGGACTTGTCCAGGCGTGTGCAGCACAGGGACTCAGAAGAACAGCAGTCACTGCGGCCGTGACTATCAAACCAAAATCGTGTTGTCTTTCATGCCAACATACAAGGAGAAACCGAAAACCCAAGCTGTTAAATTAACAATATTTCAGGCCTGGTGGTTCCCTTATATTGCCTTTGTGCACGTAACTCAGAAGAACCTCCACCAGCCCAGAATTGCACCGGGGAGAGGGGGTAGAGAAGCAACTGCTAGCAAAACGACATGAAGAAGCATCGACCTCGCAGGAGATTATCAAACCGAGTCACACACGTACCTTGCAGGTTAACTCTGGAGACAGGCGGCTGACTCGTTGCTGGAGATCTCCTAAGAAGGATAAAGAATACTCTATAAACGGGTATTATTTTATCATTTCAAACCTCCAACTCCCACCCTTAAAACCCCTTTTTTCGTACTCACAGAGAAGCCCAAAACACTTGAAAAATGATTTGGCAGTTAAGCAGCAGCATCAATGTACTCGTTAGGAAAAACCCAAGCTGTAAGTCCCCTGGCTGGGTGCAGAAGAAGGTATACCAGGAAAGATGTGCCACCAAGCCATGCTGACTTGGTGACTTTTGCTCAAAACACACCTGGAAGTCGGCAGCGAGCCTCCCAGAATCAAGGCAGCCTCCCAAAAAAGCCTTTCCCTGCAAAGTCTGGACCCTGAAATAACGTCAAATGCTGCACCAGCCCGGAGGCAATGCCATAGGTTAAGGTGAGAAATGCAAGGCTCTAAACTCTCCAGTTAACAGTTTGAATTGCACCTGGAAGCAAGAAAGACGACACTGCATTGCTAGTGTGAGCTCTGGAACAGCTGAAGGACATTTTTCTCGACGAGGAGCAACAACTTAATCAGAAAAGCCTGGCTTTCAGAAGGACCAAAAGCTATCTGAAAAATGGACTCCAGTCAAGCAGCCACGGGCTGGCTGGAAAGAGGGGACAGTACTTCTCCGAAACGTATTTGTTATGAGATTTGCCAAATAAAACTCTTCATTTCTCAAGCTGAAACCACCACTTACTTGGGGGAGGGGGGCAGAAAGATGTTTAAAAGGGTTGACACCAAACCCAAGACACTTCATTGTGGATTGAAAGCAGCATTTGAGGCTGACCAAAAACGAAACTTTGGGCTTTTGCTTCCCTAAGAAGTTTCTGATACGTTTTAACCCACGCTCTCTACTAGCCAAACTCCTAACCCCAGGTTTTTTTTTTTTGAGTCAGCTGCCCAAACTGAAACATCCATTATTTGCCAGCTCTCCTTTGAAGCTAAAATCAAAGCGAGTGAGCGGCTCAATTCTGCTGCGATTGTAGCTCGGGGGGGTTTTTCAGAAGTGCTCCGGGAAGGGCTTTGCTCATCAGGTGAGACCCACGGTCCCGCTTCAAACCTTTGGCCTCGAACCCTTTGAAGGATCCGGGGTCCCACAGCCCCTTCCCAAAAAGCTGGGGCTTTGAAATCCCAGGGGAGCTGAGGAGAAGGCCTTGGAGCCCCCCACGGTGGGGTTCAGCGCGGGGCGCGACTCCTCTTGAGCAAATCTGCCCCGACCTGCCTGCGCCGAGCCTTTGAAAACCCAAATCTTGCCATCTCTCGAAAACAGAAACTCCCCGGTAGGGACAACTGCACTGGGCGGCTGCGGCGCTTCCAGCACGTGGGGAGGACGCGCTCCAGGTATCTGCAAACCCGGCGCGGAGTTGCACCAACATGTCTTCGAGGGGGGTGGAGGAGGGATGAACTCGGCTTCAGGAGGGTATTTCCCCGCTGCTGGAGCCTGGAAAGGGAAGGGCATCGCTCCCGGCACCCTCCAGTTACATCCCGGCCGTGCCCAGCCTGGTTTCTGCAGGCAACAGAGACCCGGAGATCTGGGTTTCGACAGCACCTTCTTGGACACCACCGCGGCTCCTGCGTCCGGATCCTTCTCTCTCGCCAGCGGGTGTCAAGCGGAGCAGGCGCCGGACGCTTGCTGACCGTGTCCCGCGCCGCATCTGCCAAATCCAGGCACTCCGAAACCATTAATCACACTCTCCTCTTTTCCAATCAGGAAACTGCCTTCCAAACCCTTCCAAAAAATATGACTGCTAGTTTTGCGGTTGTTTTTTTTTTCCTTTCCCCTCCAGCCCTTAACATTCATATTTTCCAGCATTTCTGTCAATATGTGGGACAGCATCCTCTTTTTCTTTCTCAGGCCAGGAGGAGGGGAAAAAAAAAGAGGAGAGAGGAGGAGCTGAGATTCTCATGATCCGTGGAGCAGAAGTTTAAGTAAAATACCACATGTCATGAGACATAGGATAAAATCATGAGCTGGCGGCACGGCTGTGACCCAGCAGCGCTGTTTGGAAAGCACGCGGGAAGCTCTGCAGCGCCTGGAAGCACATTCCACCACGGACTTGGATGTTGGGTGTATAATGGTTTAAACATTTAACGGCTTTTACTTTGGCTGGGCTTTCTACCTCAATCAAATCTGGGAACGTTTTCAAAAGGACACTGCGAGATGCTTGTGTGTCCTACAGGTTACGCCCTCGCTTCCTTCCGGCCCCGACCAATTTCAGATTCCTCATTAAGAACTGCTGAAATGCTTGAGCTGTTCCAAAAAGCCAAGCTTTTTGTTTTAAAAAAAATAAAAATCTATTTCGGCCATCTGTTTTTCTATTAATCTCCATCTTGGAATGCGGCGGTTCCTTCCCAATGAAATCTGCAAAGAGAGGAAAACCCCACGCCTGGGGAAAACGTTGGGATTTACATAAAATACAAGGTTGCGTCAGAAAGCGCAGCCCACGGTGGGCACCAAGGCGATGCCGGCTGCATGCGTATCGGTGGAGTGAGCCCGTGGAGAACATTTTTTGCACCTCATCCTTCGTTCCAGCAGCCAGCGGAACGCACGGAGCGAGCGGCGCCCGCCAGTCCCAGGGTGGGACGGGTGGGCGAGGAGCAACCAACATCGCCAGGAACGGATGATGCCGGTTTCACGCAAAACAGCCCTCTCTCGGGGCAAAACAGGCCAGAAAATGACGATGAGTGGCTCGTTATAAATAGCCAAGGGGAAATGGTGGTTCCGGACAAAGGCGTAAAAAGGGGTTTGTTTGGTTTCTCCTGTTCACCAGGTATGAA